GCATACGCACACATGCACACACGCACATATATATATATATACCATTTAGTTCAACTGTTCTATAATTTATTCTTCAGACAGCATTATCTCTTCCTCCTTTCAAAGTTTCTCATGAACCATACAAACATCGTTCAATTCTTTTTTGAAAAATTTCCTTGATTCCTTTCTCTTTCTCTCTTACACACTTTCTCTCTCTCTCTCTCTCTCTCTCTCTCCTTCTTTTTCTCTTTATCTTTATTCACTTTATCCCTTGGACGCTCGAGCTCCATTAACGAATTCCTATCTCGGCAAAGATAATATAAGCCTTCAAAATGAAAGTAGTAAAGGGCAAGTTGAAAAGCTCCGATCGTGGGACTCCAAAGTAGTAACAGTTGGAGAAGCTAATACTTTGTTAATCCCGCATGCCCCTAAAATCCGGGCGTCGAATTTAAACGAGGCAAAAGTCAAAACTTCGAACTAGGAAAGAGAGAGAGAGAGAGAGAGAGAGAGAGAGAGAAAGGAAAGAAAGAGAAACAAAATTAACGTCAAAAGTACGACGAAATATCTATAAATTCGTGTGCTCTTCTTTTTTCTCCCTCCCTCTATCTCTTTCTTTCTCTCTTTCTCTCTCTCTCTCTCTCTCTCTCTCTCTCTCTCTCTGTCTTTCTTTTCTCCTCTTTTTCTTTTTTCCTTCTCATTTTTCTTTCATATTATCGATCGATCGAAAAGTTTTCAACTTTTTCACCTAAGATTATCGATAAAACAACTAAAGTAAAATACTTTTTTCTTTAATTATATTATCTTTCGTAGAAATCAAGAGACACGAATTAAATGTCAAACGAAAATCATTTATTCCTACGATGTTGCATTTATTATCTCTTTTTTCTTTTTTCTTTCTATTTTTTTTTTTCTTTTTCTTTTCGATTACTCGTATAAAATATTATCTAATACGTAATAGATTTAAGCGTTGAGCAATAAAAAAAAAAAAAAAACTATTGAAAAAATATTCCTTATATCGATAACGATCGATCTAATATCGTATATCCTCATAAATTATCGAAGATAGATAAGCGAATAGGGAAATTCTCTAAAGTGCGATTACTTTTCTATCTTTTTTTTGGATAGTTATTTTCGAAGCGAACATACGGCATATATACAACTAAGAAAATCTTTTCAACATTCTTTCGTTCTCATTACTTTTGAATTCCCATAGAACGATTTCCCATAGTACGGCACGTTCCTTCTTTTCGTAGAAATCGACAGATCCAAAGTCCGATGCCACGCGGGCATCAGGTTCGAAATTCGATTCGATATATTCCAATTATCTTGACTCGGCGCGTTCCTCTCTCTTTCTCTCTCTCTCTCTCTCTCTCTCTCTCTCTCTCTCTCTCTCTGTCTCTCTCTAGCATTCTATGCTCGCGTTTGTAATGTGTTCCACGTGAAAGCGTGGAGAATCGATAGGACGCCGTCTGCGCGCGACTGGGGATTATCGCGCGATCCGGAATTTCATTTCGGTTTAATTGAACGACGCCCGGCAAACCTTCCGGACCTCGGAATATGTCAACGTTTGTTCTATCATCTATAAGTTACAAGTAGAGACATAGAGAAATAGACAGACAGACATTGGATATCTATATGCGTCGAACTCCGACAATTTCTTAGAAGGTTAAACCGATGGAACTTTGAGGACATTGTAGGAACCACATTCAAACGGATGACGATCTTCTCGAATCTTTAAACTGACGTCGAAATTGCGTTACTATCTCCTTTGAAATAATTTGACGACCGTAAAATTAATTCAATTTTTTTTCACAAAGAGAGAAAGAAAGAGAGAGAGAGAGAGAGAGAGAGAGAGAGAGAGAGAGAAGAGGGAGGGTAACAAGAAAACATTATTACAAAACTTTCTTCAACTGCAAGTATTTGGTTGTCCTGAAAGTTTGTACAACTTTCGTCTTACAATGGGACAAACAAATTGATGTCCGTGTGTAAGTGCTTTTATACGTGTAAATCGATAAATGTAACAAATGAAATTTATATGTATCTTATCAAAAAATGTCTCGCTTTCGTTATACGTACACGAGAAACTAATGATACGATTCAATATAATTATTAGGAAAAAAAAAAAAAAGAAAAAAAGAAAAAGAAAAGAGAAAAAATAAATAAATCATTTCCATGTCGAATTATCAGAGTGAAATCGAATTTTGTATTATGAAATGTTTCGAATGGGAGATAAAGGGTATAGGGAAAAAAAGAACAAAAGATTATCCAATGCAATATATCCTTTTGAAAATAATCAAATGGATTTTTCTCGTTCGAAAAATTTTTCCATTGAGTACCGAATGATAAAGTACATGTGTTCAAAATATGGTTTCCTGGTTTCTTTAGCTTAATCCGTGAAGGACAAGTGTTTGCCCTGGAGTAGGTTGAACGTGGATTCCGTAATAAACGTGACCCACCATCTTAACTCTCTCCTCCCCCCCCCACCTTCCCCCCCTCCTCTCAACTCATTCTCTTGCTTTACCTTCTCTTCTTGGTTGGTGCCTCTCGAAACAACAAAGTTAATGCCTTAAGCGCGTAGGTAGGTAAGCTCTTGTCGACGTTGTCCTCGTCCTCATCGCGTCATCCTTCGTCCTCATCGTTCTCATCCTCGTCCGCTTGGTAAATTTCAACCCCTCCTTCCAATCTCCTCACTCTTGTTACTCTCCAACACCATTTCGAGAGAACGGTTACGTTACTACTATCTTATCTAGGTGCCTCGGCTAATAAATTCTAGGACTAATTTGTAAACTGAAAACAAAAGCGCCGCCGGTTATTCGTTAGTCTTTGTCGTTGTATGTCTCTCTGTTACTTTTCCCCAAACGACAATCAAGCAAAAGTTTTCCACGTTTATTATATCGTTAGAAGGTACCCCAGCTATCCCACCATTCTCGATAGAAACAGTGCGACTATTTTTCGACACACTTTTCCACTTGGAATGAGAAGACAGAGAAAGATGGAAAGAATATGTGTGTGTGTGTGTGTGTGTGAGAGAGAGAGAGATAGAGAAAAAGAGGAAAGAAAGAAAGAAAAAAAAGAGAGAGAGAGAAAAGGAAAATCCACTTTTTTCCCAACGAAAACGTCGACTCGATCGGATTATTTTTAAATAAATCGCCTGAACGGAATGAAATGGAACTGAGTGCATTTCGAAATGACGCTCGGCTACTATTCAGAGAAATACTACGATTTCATCGTAGATTGTGATAAGTAACTATAAAGTAAAAATTCTTACTTTTATTTCATTCATTATTATTATGTTTCATGTAATAATAGATTTCGATTGATTAAATGGCAAAGTAACGAAAAATTAACTTTTTTTTTATACGAAAATTTTTTATCAACGACAACAATATAAATATATTGTCAATGATCATTGGATACGTCTTGACTTGTGATAATTATTATTAATATATATATATTTTTTTTTCCCTTTTTTCTTTTTCTTTTCTTTCTTCTATATAACAAATAAATCAACAAAAAGTATTTCCAATGGATAGATAAATACAAGCTGGTAAATATATTCGAGCATGCAAACCTATCGTAAATACAAAGTTTATCTTTCTTTCGACTATCAAATCGAGTATTATGATTCTTCCTATCGTATCTTGAAACACCCTGTATGTTGACTCATAGAGTATTTTCAGAATATGTCGAAGATTTTCGCCCCTGGCGAAATCCTATCGCACAAATCTCTGACATTTCTCATGGGACTTGAATATATATATATATATATATGTGTGTGTGTGTATAGATATATATCTATGTATAGGTCGAACCAAAAGTCGACTTCTACTTATGTATATACTATCGTTGATATTATATTATATAGAAGCCTATGGCATTTATCCATCTCTCATCTTTATCATTTACATTTTTTTCTTTTTCCGTATTTCACTGATATTTCAGGTTATTCGTTTCGTTATAAAAGCACCAGAATTTTATTTCCCTTCAATCGGGGCTAATGGGAAAAGCTCGATGACTTCTTTTAACTTCTCTTTTCTCGTTTATCCATAAGTTGTAAAAAAATATTGACCATTTTAAATCGATGTCTGTTTGATTAACAAGACTGATTTAACCTACCTTCAATAATCATAAAATAATATCGAAATACGGCAATATATACATTATTTATACGTGACGAATTGCATCCTTTAAATACACCTGTAACTATCTACTTTTTCTGAACGTATAAATATAATATTAAAAAAATCGTGATATAATATATACATTTTCTTTTTTCCTTACTAATTTATTAACGTGCCAAATAACAAACAAAGTAATATTTTTCGCCATTTTATGGTAGCGGAAAGGAACCGTGCGGGATTTATAGGCGACGCAGGTGTTCACGAGCTCAGTTGAAAAATCAAATGAAATTAAAATACATTATTATAAAAAACATAAAAAAAAAAGAAAAAAGAAAAAGGATATATATATATATATATATATATACATATACAGAAAATCTCCTGCGAAAAACATTTTTTGTTTTCTCTCTTTTTCTTTCCCCATCCTTTTTTCTGTTCATTCTTTTTTTTTCGCCCTTTTCAACTTTTTTTTTCTCCATCTTCAATCAGTCAAATTTTTTTCTTTCTTTTTCTTTTTCTTCTTTTTTTTTTTTTTTTTTTTTTTTTTTATTTTCCCCTTTTTTATTTCAATCAAAAACTTATCCCATTTTGAAGGGACCGATTTTCCATTAGATCGCAACATTCTAGAAGAGAAGATGATCTTGGTCATCCGTTACGTATTATCGGGACTCGAGCAGCAGCGGCGGTCGTATAAGTGGCTCTTACGTATTAGCGATTGTGCTCGAAACACGAGTCTCCGAGTGATTTCCAATAATCCACGTCGGCAAGGATAACCAACCGCTGGGTGATCGATAACCATAGAGAACGCGCACTATGTGTGCTTCCTCCTCGGCTTGTCCACTCAATCCTTGCGATTATATCTGCCCTTCGCGGTTGCATTACGATCTTGTGAATGCCCTTATCATTGTTATCTCGCTTATCTTTCGGAAAGAAACACACAATGACCTCGAATAATTATATATATATATATATGTGTGTATGTGTGTGTAATTAAGTATTCTAAATCTAAAAAGAAAAGAAATTTACTAAGCTGACTTTGTTTCTAAAAAATAAATCCTTCCGTCGACTTAAATGTAAATATATTTTAAACAAAATGTCTCTATCTCTTTCTCTCTCTCTCTCTCTCTCTCTCTCTCTGTCTTTCGCGTGTGTGCGCTCTCTTTCTTTCTTTCTAATTATTACAATATCAATAATAATAAATCGAAAATTATATTCTGTCAATGAAATTCTGACTGTGTATATATCATAAATGAAACATTGATACGAATCAGGAATTAGGAACGATTTGAAATATTTGTTCTCTCGAACTATTATTTCACTATATATTTTCCTTCTCGAATAGAAACGAATCAATGTCGTCGAAGAGCGCTCGACCGTTTCTTAAAACTTCCATGCTATCGAGTGCACCGGAATAATTTGAATTTCCCGCCGGAGGATATAAGGGATCGTCTAGTAGGTTATTCTCAGGAGAGTATCTGTACTTTGAATACGGATGCTTCGAACTCGACAACTTTTCCATCTCTCTCTCTCTCTCTCTCTCTCCCTCTCTCCATCTCTCTTTCTCACTCTCTTTCTCTTTCTTTCTTTCTTTTATTCTCTCTTTTCAATACTTGAAGGCCTCGATTCTTGTCACGATGAAATCTGCAATCATGAAACATATAATTAGTTTAATGAAGAGCGCAAAGTTAATTATCGTTCGAACGAAGTACGCCTCTTGAAACCCATTTCAATGATACAAGGTAAGAAACGATTGGATACAGCTAACGTAAGTGTCGAGAAATTATTTAAAAAAAAAAAAGAAAAAAGAAATAAAGCCTTCAAAATGTTTTATATCTTAAACGTAACGGAAATAAGAAAAAAAAAAAAAAAAAAAATAAAGAAAAAAATTGTAAAATTGTAATCGATAAATTTACAATGGTTACGTCGAAAAGTGTTAGTTTAATATTTCTGTATAATTAAATGAAATCGACAAAATTATAATAATAAGTGATTCCAATTCACGATTTACTGATTTAGTGGATAATAATAATAATAATAATAAATAAAAGGAAGAAAGAAAAGAAAGTACGATGAAATAAATTATAAATAATGTAATAATTCGATCGTATCGATCGAACTGATAAATAATTCGAATATAAATTTACTGATTTACTGAGTAACGTAAAAAATTCAATTTGGTATATGTCGAAACATGTCATTTCTATTCAAACAGAACTGCTAGAATTAGTTAATGATTACAATATCAAATTAATTGATTCAATTGTGTATCCATTAACGATATCAATTGATTTGTTATCAGTAGAACAATATACGGATATAAGGATATATGAATTTAATTTTTCTAAACGAAACGAAACGAAACGAAATGAAATGAAACGAAACAAAAAAAAAAGAAAGAAAGAAAGAAAGAAAGAAAGAAAGAAAAGAAAAAACATATAATAAAGAAATACAATAAAATCTTTTTTCTTTCGCAAGATAACACATGTACAATCTTTTTGGGCAAGACATTTAAGCAAAATATTAATATCAAAAAATGAAAAATATATTAAAGTGAAAAATAAAAAAGATATAAAAAATTTTAATTAAATAAAAAAGAAAAAAGAAAATAATCACGAGAGAGAGAGAGAGAGAGAGAGAGAGAGACACAAGCTTTTATTAAATTATATGAGGCGAATAGAAAAACGTAATCTCTATGAGATATCTATACGAACGAATAAAATAACGAATAAAAAAATCGTATTCATAATTAAAATAAAGTACTAATACTACTACTATTATTACTACTACTATCAAGCCATTCAATATCACATATATCGCCATTGGTAATGGGGCATCGCACGTTTTTCTATTAAAGAAACTATAATGATATTTTCATTGTTTTTCGTAACGAACCTTACGAGTTTATATCAGAACGAACTCTGGTCGCTGACAAGAGATAGTCATAAGTATATATGTGTATATATGTAAACGGTATGGAACTTTTCGTTTAATAAATCCCACTCTCTATCTATCCATCTATCTCTCTATTTCCCTCTCTCTCTCCCTCTCTCTCCCTCTCTCTCTCTCTCTCATCGTCCCGATATACTCATCGTAGGAAGCGAGCCGAGCTATTAAACTCTGTGTCCGAAATCCTCGTTGGAAATCCAATGGGCCCTCTGAATACGAGTGGGCCCACGGGAAATCTTCTATCGTCTCAATGGCTGAATCCATCCCGAACCCCTCAAGCATATCTCTCTCTCTCTCTCTCTCTCTCTCCTACTCTCTCGCTCACTTGGTTGCTTGCTCGCTCGCTCTATATATGGCGCTGAACGCGCTCGCGTATGAGCGAGCAAGTTAGCCAACCAGCTAGCTAGCTAATACTAGCTAGATAGCTAGCTAGAATTTAGCTAGATAGCTGCTGAGGAGTATGTCAAGATAACAAGGCCGGGAGTGGAGATTGCTTCATTAGCAGAAACGCCTAATTGTACCGTCTGTTTGCCCTTATGCTTATCAAAGAGAAAACGTTTGCTCAAAGGGTGGGAATAATTCGTTGGTTATACAGTAGTAGTAAAAGCCTTTCATTGATCAGACCCAGAACAGATGGTATATTTCCCACCAACGGTATTTCTTTCCTTTCTAAAGAAAAGAGATAATGTAATGGAAAGAACTTATCTTTCTCTTTCTCCCTTATCGAAACAAATATATATATATATATACATATATATATATATATATATATTGATATTTAAATGTTAGAAAATCGATTCGTAATTTTTGATTTGTAATGAATTTGAGAAGAAAATAAAGAACGATAATGATGTTCATCGACGATCATTTTATTTCTTGATTATTTTATACTTCATTATTTTCATGATGAGATGTTTTTTTTTCTTCTCTTCTTTTTTTTTTTTTTTCTTTTTTAATTAAATAATACGTTGTTGTTCTAAAACGATTTACGATTATCGCGCTCGATTCCTTTCGACCTATCGCGATGATATTAATATCGACTAGATAATTAACAAGACTTCCTGACCTCGTCATCGCGCTCGAGAAGAAAGATCCTGTTAGCCCCGTCCGATACAAGCGATTAATCAAGGCTACCAGCAACGCTATTGGTAATTGCTTATGCAGCGACGGTCATTGTTGGCCGAGCAACGAGGTTGCTGCTGTTGCTGCCTTGGCTGTCAGTAATGTAAACTACTACATGCAAGAGAGAGAGAGAGAGAGAAAGAGATAGGGGGGGTGGGAGAGATAGGAAAATAGGAAAGGACACAATGATAACAACGACAGATAGATACTTCTATCATTCCTTTGTTTCTCGCAAAAAAATCAGAAATCAAGCGGACTCTCTCTCTCTCTCTCTCTCTCTCTCTCTCTCTCTCTCTCTCTCTCTTTCTCTTTATCTATTTTTCTTTTTTCTCTCGAAAAAGAGAACGGGTTCCATCGTTTCTATCCAGCACGGATACACGGATACGGAATTAGCGGCAGAAACCGTACAAATCCACGTAGCTGTCGGTCTTTTGTTACTCTATACCATAGAAAGCAAACAGAAGGAGTAGTTGCTGGCGGATAGGTGGATGGTTGGTAGAAAAGCAAAGAATTAAAAGCGATCGTCGTCATACCATCGAAGTCCATGAACTCTCTCTCTTTCTCTCTCTCTCTCTCTCTCTCTCTCTACCTCTCTCTCTCTCTCTCTTGGATCGCTAACATCTCATCCTTTCGGTAAAGTCCACTTTCAATCAATAGATCTATAGATCACTTTCTTCATTGTTCCGTGAACGTCAATGACTCTTCAAGTTTGTTCGATGGTTTATATCCATATTGTCTTCATTCTAAAACCTCCAATGCATTTTCTACGAGCTATATGATCATAAATATGTTATAGTATTTAGAAGATAAACGATAATAAATTTATATTATCTCATCGTAATGTATAGTATGATTTTTCGATATTGTTAGTTCTTTTTCTTTTTCTTTGGTTTTTTAATTTTTTCCATACGTGAATTTCATAGCCAACGTCGATTAAAAAAAAAAAAAAAAAAAAAAAGAAATAAAATCTGAATGAATTAATTCATATCTGCTTCTATATGTTTTCCTTACAAATATCTAAGATAAATTAAATAAATCATTGATATATACGTACTGTTCAATCTTTTCTAATGTTGTTCAAGTAGCAAGTACGAAAGAAAATTTACTTCATTCCAAGTAAATAAAAATCTTTCTTTTCTTTTTATCCTTCTCTCTATATACCTCCCTCTCTCTCTCTCTCTCCCTATATATATATATATATATATATATCTTCTGCTTTATGACTCGTATACAAGAACAACGGGTCGACGGGCCACAAAAACGGGCCTTCTGGCCGCGTTCCACTTCCCTTCGACCTCTCCTTCCTGGCACTCTCAAGAGGATCGGCTTCCCCGTATCCCATAAAGAAAGAAAGAAAGAAAGAAAGAAAGAAAGAAAGAAAGAAAGCAAAAAGAAAGAAGAAGAAAAAGAGAAAAAGAAAAAAAGCGGGGAAAAAACGAAGAGAAAGAGAATGAGAGGAGTCGACGAAAAGTGCCATAAATCAAGAAGAATACCGCAGTTTGGAACTTCATACGTTCAATTGCGGTCGGTATCTCTCGTCAGTGTCGTTGAATAACGGTGAACCGTCGAAACGACAGTGACAATATAGTCAAGCATTTGCCACTATCACCACTATCACCGGTGCAATGCGATTGCATTCTGCGAAAAATCTTCGAACATACTTCGGCTCCGCCCCTTTATCCTACCACCCTCATCGCTTTGATACACTTGCCTTGGCTCTATGCGAGAGGAAAAGTAAGAGAGAAGAAGTTGGACAACGTTTATCCTGACTATAACTTTCTAGTCTTATTCTTTATCTTCTTCTTCTTCTTCTTCTTCTTCTTCTTCTTCTTCTTCTTCTTCGTCATTCTCATCTTCTTCTTTTTTATCATATTTTTATTCTTTCTTTTTCCCTTTACCCGATACGATGATCCTCTTTTTCGATCCTTCTCTCTCTCTCTCTCTCTCTCTCTCTCTCTCTCTCTCTCTCTCTCTCTCTCTTTCTCTCCCTCTCTCTTACTTCCTAGAAATGACGATATCCAGAATAAAGTGGACCGAGAAAAATACTCAACTCCTTCTCCTGACTCTTAACCACAAGAAAAGTGAGAAAGATAAAGAGAGAAAGAGAGAAAGAGAGAGAGAGAGAGAGAGAGAAAGGTGGAAGTAATCGAGCATGCGTCCTGTCTTCTTCCTTATCTAACTTTCTACTCTTCTTTCTCTCTCTCTCTCTCTCTCTTTCTCTCTATCTCTATCTATTTATCTCTCCTTATTTCTCTCGCGCTCTCTATTTCAGCTCTTCAACTTCTCTTTACATTTCACTCCTGTATTCACTTTTTTACCTCCTCCGTTCTCTTTTTAATATTCTCCCTCTTCTCTCGCCCTTCTCCTCCCTCGATCTTTCTTTCTTTCTTTCTTTCTCTCTTCCTTCATCTTCGAAAGATCGTCGTTCCTCTCCCAAATACATACTTACCTAACGTCGTCTTTAATCAAGGTCTACTCTTGGATCGATACTTCGACGACTTTATGCAAAATGTTATCTATCTATTTTCAACCCATCTCGACCACCCACCCACCCACCCACCATCTCGCTCGCTCGCTCGCTCGCTCTTTCTTTACTTTTTTTCTTCCTTTTTTCATTCGTTCGTCAATGTCCTTCATCTAATATCGTTCTGTTATTCTCCATTAAATATCATTCTCAGATTGAAATTTTTCGATATGCCAGTAAATCAATTAAAATTTATTCGACTTGATCGATAATTATTATAAATAAATAATATAATATAATATATTGTTATAATATTGTTTAATATGAATAATATTGAATAACATATTGTCTTTTGACGAAGGAAATTATAATAACGATATTATCAATAATAAATATTAACGTTGTTTATTTGTTCGTGCAAATAATTCATATTGTATTTTATTTTTTATCAAATCATATATAATCTACGTTCTATCCAAGTATTTACTTATTTACATACTTATATAATGTTTATTACTTATGAAACGTACTTGATTACGTTATAGAACTGTAAGTAATTATTAAAAAATCATAGGCCAAAGTTCAAGGATATTTGATTTATTATAATCCATTCATTTTGGATATCGATATGATATCAATATAACGATATGCAGGCGTGTGTATATTTTAACGTTAAACTTTTTAGCGAGTGTAAATTTTCTCATCTCAAAAAAAAAAAAAAAAAAAAAGAGGAAAAAAAAGAAAATCATATTACAGCATTTGTTTATATGCATTTGTTTATATGTTCGTTTGTTTATCTGTCCTGTACGTGCTTTTTTTTTTTTTTTTTTTTTTTTTATATATTTACGATACTTATCGCTAAAAATTTTTTATTTAAAGTATAATTGATCCCGTGTATCTCGTAAATCGGCAATACGAACGTATTACGTGCCGTTGATTGAAACAAACGAAACAAAAAATATAATCTAAGTCGAATTTAATTATTGCTATATTTTTATTTTAACAATTAATACATTAATTAGTTATACGAAATATACGATGCATTAATTTGTCATTGTTTATTATCTACTTTTTATGATTTTCAAAAATGACAAAAATATATCGTAGATGTCTTTCTTGAGAATGGAAACGATAAACTTCTCAATGATTCGAATAAAGATCTTCATTAATTAGAAATTAATATCGTTCTCTCTTTTTCTGTTATCTTTGCCAGTTATTCGCCTTTTGCATTACTTTAAGAACACCGTGTAAAATCCGGTTAGCGTTGCGACCAACGACTTGGAATGTCGTACCAATGTCCTGCATTACGAGTTTCTCAAACCTGATTTCCGATATATATATATATATATATATACTCACACATACAATGTTAGTAACTCGTAATTATATTATTTCTTTACTTTCTTTCTTATTACTTCTCTACTTTCTTTTTATAACGCAGTTGTTTTCGTGTCTAAAAAGAAAATGATATAATGTAAAATTCTCTTTCTTTTTCTCTCTCTCTCTCTCTCTCTGTCTCTCTCTCTCCCTCTTTTATACCTACAATTTATATATTATACTAATTGTAAGTATAATATATGCTTAGCAAATATTAAACTTAGAATATGTACTAACAATCAAATTTAGGAAAACGAGGATAAAATAAGGTTTCAAAAATAAACATATCTATATATATATATATATATATATATATATATATATATATATATATGTGCTTGACTTCAACATTATTATACATTATGAAGAGTTAAACAAAAAAAAAGACATATTAATATTTGTATATTATAAAGGAAATTATTATTTCTTACGTCAATTTGTTGCCTCTTAAATGTACAACTTGGAGTTTAGCTCGACGATAAAAATTTTCCCTTCCAATGTCGACTTCTTTATTTCTTCTCACGTTTATTCTTTCGCACACTTTAAAAAGAAGTAACACGATGCAGATACATTAGTTAAGTAAAGACCACAGTATGACTGCCAACATCCACACGAAGGAACTCCTTGAGAGAGACTAACTTCTCCGTTTTCGTGAGTAATCCGTGTATCATCCTGTGTTTACACATTATCTGTTTCTCTATTTCTCTCTCTCTCTCTCTCTCTGTCTCTTTCTCTCTCTTTCTTGGAAGTCGTGCTAATGTGTTTATATGTCCTCTAGAGTGAACGATATAAAGATACTACTCTCGTTTAACGAGATAAATCGTCATAATCGATATGTATATATTTATGTACGTATACATATATCCTAAATACTATGTTCCATAAAACAGATCAATTTGAAGGATATTACATTATGAATGAAAAATACATACAGCTTAATTTTTTCCATCTGATTTCGTTCGTTTAAATTTATATATTCTCAATGAATTTTGTATATGTATTATCATCGATCTGGTCTTAAGATAAAATCATTTTCGTACGAATATATGTCTTCGTATATTAATAATTATTTTTTCGATTAGTATCAAGTATTTGATTCGAAGAAACGTACAAAAAATATAAATACGTACGTAATATGAACAAAGCTAATTTAATCGAACGAATTTGAAAAAATTAATAAAAGGATACGTAAACGAATTTTTCGTAAAATATTCCTTTACATATACATATAATATATATATATATATATGGATATATTTACATATTTATATACGTATATACATACATATATATACATAGATGCATGTATAATTACTTATGTATGTAAAGATATATTTATTCCTAATGATAACATTGTTCAAAAGTAAAGTGCATATGAGAATGAGAGTACTACGGTGGTTTCATCTTCTATATATGTAATCTGCAACGTATGGTCACAACTTGAATTACTTATTTTACGAGAAGGATGCAAGTCGTTAACATCGAAGACAGTTCTCTATGTTATTTAACGCGAATTGACCCCTGAAAGTTCACCATGAGAAACTAACGAAGTTGGACCTTGCTCTCTCACTTTCTCTGTGTGTGTGTGTGTGTGTGTGTGTGTGTGTGTCTCTCTGTCTCTCTCTCTTTCTTTCTGTCTCTCTCTCCACAGGATGTCGCTTAAACGTGCGAGAATCGGTGTCGATCTTTCGACACTCGGCAAAATCCTTCTCGTCTCGGCTTCCTTTCCCTCACCTTCCCCTTACCACCACCCCCCCACTGGCACCATACCTCGGCCATTCGAAACTTGCCAAACCTGGTGGCTAAAGTTCAATGAACCATATCGAATGAACGAATCGTCGTCGGTACTCGTCAGGAAGACTCCATCGAAAATTCTCAAGTGTTAGTCGAATGAAAGTTTTCAAAAATTTATTCGCAAAGTTAAAAGGATTAAAGAATTACTTTAAAAAAAAAAAGAACAAAATAATAAATATCGATTTGTTATCAATGTTTTCGTTTAAACAATTTTGCGTAATAATATTTCCTTCGTCTTTCTCTCTCTCTATCTCTCTCTCTCTCTCTCTCTCTCTCTCTCTTTCTCTCATTTTCTTTTTTTTCTTGAGTTATCTTTGCCTCACCATCAAAAAGAAAATAATTTTCACGTCGTCATAATCGAAAAAGCCTATACAAGGGATTCTCTATCGAAAGAAAATTTTTGGCTCGTTTCGGTACGAGAACGTGCGATTAAATGAAAGTCACGATCGGTAGAGGGACGTCTCGACTTCGATCGCGTATAGGGACCAAGATAAAAATCCAATAACGAGGAAACGTCATGGCCGACACCGTGGAAAGCTACCGAAAAGCCATTCGCCTAAAAGCACTGACGGATTTTTCGGAAAAACCTTTTTGCTTTCTCGTCAATTCGTCGATCGTGTGTATATGTGGATACGTATACATACCCATATATATATATATATATATATATATGTATATATGTACATATACAGGGTGTCTCATTGAACTTAATACTCGCGAAATTTCGATTGGGTGAAAAAGTATACGAAAAAAAAAAAAAAAAGAAAAGAAAAAAAAAAGAAAAAGGAAAACAAACACGAAGAAAAAAAATCCATTTCGAAGGTAGATATAATAAAAGAAAATAGAAAATGAAAGAGGAAGTATTTTTTATATTTCACAATTTTTCGTATAATTTACAATACAATCAAATTATTTGAAATGATTGGGGTTAAAACGAGACACCCTATATACGTATTCTCTTTCTTCGAAGCACATATACAGTGTATTTCTTTCTCTTTCTCTCTCTCTTTCTCTCTCGTTCATTCGCTCGGTCGGTCTCAACGAGTTGGCATTATCATCATTATGGTCGTATTTACGAGGTCGTAGTATTCGACGTTTGTAAAGGGAATTAATTGCCGGGAAAAGTCGAGAACGTATGCATTTTCCAAGTAAGACCAAACGATTCGTCGTCTTGTATTAACGACAACGATCTTGGTTATCGAGGTTTAAACTCGAAGAGTTCAAAGTTCGCAATAGGCTCGAAGAATGACCACGAGAACCAGCGTTAAAAATGTTAACTAATCGAAAAAGTATCGGATCATAGAATCATATCTCATTATGATTAAAAAAAAAAAAAAAAAAAAAAAAAAGAAAGAAAGAAAGATCTATACTATGTTCATCGATATCTTTCGTACAAAAAAAAAAGAAATCATTGCACGAAATTACAAATAAAAGATAATGTTAATGGAGACAGATAATGAGCTGAGAAACAAGAGAAAGAGAGAGAAAGAGAGAGAGAGAGAGAGAGAGAGAGAGAAAAGAATGAAAAAAAAAAGAAAGGAGAAGAAATTAAAGAGGAAGATCAAGATATTTATCACAATAAATGGTGGATTATCTAATGGCTAGTCGAGGTGTGTTTAATTCTCTCGAATTCTTTTCTTCCTCTTTTCTTTCTTTCTTTCTTTCTTTCTTTCTTTTTTTCGTAACTTCCCCCTTCTACGATGGTCTACGATAAAGCACCGGTTCCATAACGAATGGCTGGGACAGAGACACATACACAGAGGAAGAGAGAGAGAGAGAGAGAGAGAGAGAGAGAGAGAAAAAGAGAGAGAAGAGAAAGGAGGGCAGTTTTAAAAACGAATCTCTGTAGTCACTGAGTCGAGTCACCGAGTCGAGTCCCGTCTCTGAAAGAGTTAAAGTGAAAATATCTGTGAGATATTCGCGATGAATGCTGTATGTGTATGTGTATGAGAGAGAAAGGGAAAGGATAGAGAATACGAGTTTATTCTCTCTCTCTCTCTCTCTCTCTCTCTCTCTCTCTCTCTCTTCCTTTCTCTCTCTGTCTCTCTTCCTCTCTCTTTCTCTTTTCTCGGACGACTCAGAAACTCAGCATCGCTGAAGCTCTTTTAACGATTACATCACCACTAACTCCTACGCAGCTTCCTTCCACTGCTTATCGCAAAGTCGAACGATTTATCGAACGCTCACTAACTCACCTCTTTTCTCTCTCTCTCTCTCTCTCTCTCTCTCTCTCTCTCTCTCTGTCTGTCTGTCTGTCTGTCTGTCTCTCTCTATCCTTGTACTTTCATCCCTTACGAACCTTAGAGAAATCTTCGATAGAATAATTTCTCTCTGGATTTACATCTTTTAGAGATCATACGATTTATTTTATCTGATTCAACATTCAGTAATATGGATTACATGCTGAAACTGTGATTTATTAAAAGTGACGATGTGAGTTATTATTATTATTATTATTATTATTATTATTACTTTTATTATTACTATTTTTCGTTGAGTAAGACGAGAAAACAAAGTTACTGAAGAATGATTTTATTGAGAGAGAATAATAAATATATTTTTCTCATGAAAGATTATTTGTTATTCTTTTACACGCGAAATAACGTGTAACTTATCTACGTCCTGAAAAGTTTTTATCGTTAAGACAGAGAGAGAGAGAGAGAGAGAGAGAGAGAGGGGGGGGGAGAGAGAGAAAGAGGGTAAAAGGGAAAAAAAAAATCATAATTCAGTATACTTTGGATATATCTTACTGTATAACGAGCGCATGAAGCGAGATTGTAGATTGAGATACACGAGACATAGCTACGTAGATTTATATATAAATACATAGATACATAGATATTGTATATACATTGAGGAGCAACGTGCGTCGTTAAAGAGAAGAAATTTTACGTGTCTACGAACAGTATTAATGTTCTTCCTGTCGTTCCACCGAAATAGTTGTTTCTAGCATAGATATATTACTTAGAGTTAATAGGAAAAGTTATTAACCCTCTATATAATCCATTACAAATTCGTGTTTATTATATTATATTATTATATTTCATATCTCTTATGCTCTTTTTCTCTCTCTCTCTCTCTCTCTCTCTCTCTCTCTCTCTCTCTCTCTCTCTCTCTCTCTCTCTGATTCTAATCTTTAAGAGAAAATCTTTATCATTATGACAATGAAATATTTTCATTTAGGATAATAATACTTTCACATACGAAATTTTCTTTAATACTTTTTACGATCCGATTTTTACGTGTCTGCGTATGTATATATATATATATATATATGTGTGTGTGTGTGTCTTAAACAATTTCCATATTTATTTTAAAGTTTATATACAAGAGATTTATTATTTTAAAATAACGACAATTTCTAATGATATATTTTTAAAACTTTACGAAAGTGTAAGAGAAGAGATGAGAGTATTATTATTGCTTTATCGAATGCAAAATTAACTCTTAGAAATTAATTAATATAAAATAAAATTCGAAACTTTTAGAACGATGATTCGTTTAGATTCACTCGGCCCATTTCACTAGTCCTTTTTCCCCGAAATTATTTCGACAATGATTTCTCTTCTATCTCTTTTTTTTTTTTTCATTTCTTTCTCTTTTTCTCTTTCTATATAACTTATTATTAAATACTTTTCAGAATTGACTGCATATAATTAACGTACCTTTTCCACTAACTCTCTTTCTCTCTTTCTCTCTCTGTCTCTCTCTCTCTCTCTCTCTCTCTCTCTAGTTCTCTCGAGAATTCTGACGTTATTTCCGCAAAATTATGCTCGAAACTTCTTCCTCCTCGTTGATACTCTACCAGCTCGTGAAGCACTCGGCTCTCGCTCAAGCTCGTTTAGAATTTCATTTGCTTTTAGGAAAATCGTAAAGAGAGAACGCGAGTTCCCATTGGATCGGGAAGGGGTAGATTGAAGAAAAGAGTAGGAACGAGTGGAGGGGGGTGAGGGGTGGATGGATTGAAAACAACAAAAAAAAGAAAAATTCGACAAATTGACTGCTTAATTGGAAACTACGTAACCCACTACTACTGACATTTATTACTTCTTAAATAGGAAAAAAAGAAGAACAAAAAAAGAAAGCAATAAAAAAAAAAAAAAAAAAGAAGAAGAAGAAGAAGAAA